GGAAAACTGTGGTAATAGCTTGCATTACTGCTTTGTTTTCTTGCTTGTGGGTTGTGGTAAGAGAGGGACATATGGCATTAGAGTATGTGGTTGGTCTTCCCCCCCATCTCACCGTCTTACTGAGTGAAGTATTACGTGCACATGGTTTATTTAGGGTAATTAAGAGAAGTGTGTTTGCTCTTTTTCCTGACTGACTGGGTGGAAAGTAAAATGGTGCTGTAGCGATGACTTTGTCTGCTACAAATCCTCTGAAACAACTGACGTCTGTTAACCCTGGTGGCCCTTTTGATCTAGTTATGTTTAATGTGAACAATAACATAGCCAGTGCCACACAGTGGTGCAGTGTCCAGGTGCTCCCTTCTCCTTCAACAGTCCAAAGACTTAATGGATTAGGTTAATTGATTACTTAAAATTGATTATAGAGGGGAATGATTGTCTTCATAGGTGTCTCTGTAATGCAGGGGTGGGCAATTAGGTCCACAAAGGGCCGCTGTGGCTGCAGGTTTTTGTTCAAAAAAGCAGCAGCACACCTGACTTAATGAATCAACTGCTATTAGTCTTCAGACAGTTGATTGGTCAGTCAGTGTGTTCTGGACAGGTTGAAAGAAAAACCTGCAGCCACAGCGGCCCTTTGTGCCCAGGTCTGCTGTAATGACTAGCTACCTGTACCTTGTGCCCCACCCTCACCTAAAGACTGCTCGGATTGACCTGGGCATCAAGTCTCAACACCAAACAATCTTCCATCCTTGTCATTGTGCTTTTCAGACTTTCAGTTGTGTGCTCTAGACTCACTAAATTTGGTAGTTGTGTAGGTTAATACAGGTAAAAAAGAACCTTGTTTGGTGTAGAAATAAAAAAACAAGTCCATTAAACAAATTTCAGTACATATAAAAACAAGATTTATTACTGCAATCAAATAAAGCACCATAAACAACGTCCAACTGGAATAAATGAAGGTAAGTTTTCTCCTTTGATTTTAAGCTTTATTTACACACTGAAATGTTTAAACACAGCAAATATAAATTATGAAATTTTCTTGTTTTTTTATTTCTCATCAGAATTTCTTTTTTTTTTACACATTGTATTTTCTATTATACAGGACTTGATAGGTTTTGACAGAATACTTTGTTTTCAAGTGATGCAGTTGAACCTCTGGGGCTCAAATTTAGCTTTTATTTTTCTTATCAAAGATCCACATGTAAACCTGAAAGAATCTGTGGTCACTGCCTGGTATTCATTCTATATTCACATCATATACATATATGGAAAAGTTTAATATTGTGCAAACTGCGACTGCTAATAATCCCTTAGGGCCAGCAGAGGGTCAATTCTGCATATCTGTGTAGTTCTTCAAAATCCAATGTACAATTAAAGCACAATTGGTACCTTTCTGTATACAAATGTCCAATGTGTGTTAGAGGATAAGCAACTACCAGAGACAAATTTTACTTTCTCATCTCCAAAGCCCAAGCACACAGAACATTTGATAACAGACCAATGATAAATAATATACATGTTGGAACATTTTGGGAGCCAGCTTCCCAAAATCTACCTGTGATCACTGTACGTTCAACATTTTGTGGCTGCACTCTTTTGTCTGACATTTATGATAAATTATATATTATAAGAAATTAAGACCGATGTTGCAAATGCACTCTGTAGAGTTTTGTGGCAGGAAATAGTTATTTAAAGGGATCAGGCATGGGGGAGTAGGCTGAGTTCAAACTGACAAGTGTCCATGGTGTCTGCCTCTTTGAGTCAGGACAGACAACGTCTTTTTTTTCTTCTTCTCTCTCTTCCTCACCAGTTGGGAAGCTCTGCTGAATCTTACCACTTCCCTGGTATAGGTCTGCCACACTCATACCAGCCTACATAGGTAACATGTGACCTTCCCCCAATTTCTCCAAAGTGTACAGGTTCCTGTCTCAGTGCTCTGAAGTATCCTTGTTAAAAAGAAAAATAGAAAGGAAGCAACTTAATTTATTTATTTTAACACATTCGATTTGAATCATGACACATATACCGAAGTCTCATATATACTAAGACTGTCTGTTAATTAACAAAATATATTTTTAAAGTCATGTTTATCTTGTTTTAATAAAACTTTTTCTCCGAATAAAATTGTTAATATTAAATTACATTCAGTAAAGGTACCAATCTCTTTTCGAGACAAAATCTCAAGAAATGAAACTCAAAAAAGCGGTCTTTAAACGTTTGATTAGCTACGCTCACTGCAAGGTAATCGCCACGAGATGGCGGCTTTCCGTTCAAAGCTTTTTCGGTGACGTCCCAATAATTAAAAGTCCCGCCTTTCTCCCCCTCTGATTAGCTCGCCTTTGTCGCTTCCCTTATTTTGACTGGTCAATGTGTTTGACAATATGTCAGTCGATACCACGGTCTGCTGAGTGGTGTTCATGACGAGGTAGGAACTATACACAAATGAGAAATTAACTTCTTATATACTAAATGGGTATGTTCTGGTATGTAATTCTTAATGAATACAAAATGGGCAGCTTAAAATTTGAAACATTACACACGTGACAAAATTATATATATAAAAAACAGTTATTTTTTAAAAAAGCTTGTTTGCTGTGATGTTTACAACACATTACCCTGACAATTTAAAAATAGACTAAAAGATACACTAAAATTGCAAAAGGGAGCATTAATAAGGTTACAAAAACTAAGAATTAGGTTCAATTTCCATACTGTCTCAGTCACCTGAACCTATAATTTGTCAGTATCAACCCACTTACCTAGTCTGCTTGGGAGCTGATCAGCAAACGTCTGTGTACCAGTCCGCCCATCTAAGAAGGAGTCTACAAACTGACAGTGGTCTTCTCCATAACCTGTCTGGTCTCCAATATTGTAGAACTTGCCTAGAGATGTAGGATGTATAAATTAGAACATTTCCCTATAGAAAACTAATCATTGGAACATAAATGTTCTCATTAATGATTAGATAATGAAACATGCTTGAAACACAAACACACAAACAGACATTTTCAAATGTCTTTCAAAGTATGTAAATGTGCTGAGAGTAAAGATAATTCTTTTTTTAGGATTTAGATATCAGTAAATGTTTCAGTGGGATTAGTTTATTCTTTAATGTATAATAGCCAAATCAAAACACTTAGATACTAATATCAAAGATGCATGCACAAAAATATTTTAAATTATATTTTGTATATTTAGACTATGCACGTGTCTCATGTGGTGTAAGTACCATTAAGCGTGTCACTCAGGTAGATTTTGTATCTCAGGGAGTTGCAGAGCTGGATTCCTACAAATTTTCGGTACCAGGTTCTCTTCACAAACTGCTTTCCATTGCATTCGGAGTAGGCATCTGCTTTAAATGGAAACTGAGTCCAGATAGCACCTTTGCCTGTGAGGAAACCATTGGAAAACACAGTCTTGGTGTATTGTATACTCTTGTGTACTGTAAATATGCAAGTTAACATGATTGAAAACTAGATAAGAATGCCAATTCAAAACAGTTTTACTTTATTTGACCATATGAATGTTGCAAAATATGAGAGTCACCTGAAACATATTCACTCACTCTTGGATCCGCTACAAACAGAAAAGAGAGAAAGTAGCAGTGAGTAACGTCATCAAGACAGTGTGTTGTTAACACCCAGCTGGTGATTTGCAGTACACAGGTGACAGACTGAGCTCTGGTGTGCACACTTAACCACCTGTTTGACCTTGGCAAATTATATATGAGGTGACAAATGGACTCCAAAGAAATGTTGACTCAACCTCAGGAAGGGAAATATAGGGAATATAAAAATTATATTGATCAGTAATTTATTTCTCTTTGAATTGTTGACTTCTTTAAAGTCCTTGTATTTATTTAAAATCCTTTCAATTGAGGACATGTTTAGACGCAACCAACATCTCCAGATTGGCTTGTATTGAATTTTTGTTTTATTTGAAGGACCTGGAAAACTCATTCTGACTATTACCTAAACCATGTTTTTAACATCTTGAACTGGTAGTCGTAAAGAATATTCATCCCAAGTATACTATATTATATATATTTATATATATAATATTATATATTATATAATTATATATTTATGTTTTTCTAATGATTTTAACATTTTTACACCATTGTGTACTCAAACAATTGACCTTTTAAGACTCTGTCAGAGTAACACATTAAAAACACAGAGGAGGTTCAAAGCTTAATCTTAGTATTGCAAGCATCATATCCAAAGAAGTGGGCTCTGATTGCATAAGGGCACAAAGCCAGTGAAGGATTGCTTTCTTCTCTTATCCTCGTCAGTGTAAGTTTAAAAACATAACATTTACAAGGCTCAAGGCTATAAACTCGGCTGTTTTTTTTCACAGGTGCAAACTGAAGTGTTGTAAGTGAACTGCTGTTTGTAAAAATCACATGGACAATTGAAATCTGTTAGAACAAGCCTTTAACTGCATCAGTTAATTTGACCAGACTCTTTAATCTTAATCATTTACACCTTTGTGGAACTGTGACATGTTGGAGTCATTATTGTGCTCAGCAGCCTGCCTTTTTAATTCGAGATAATGCCAAAAAAACACGAGCAGCACCAATACAAACTGTACTGTGGCATCAGTGTATAAGCTGTAGTGTTCTGTTCCAGTGGAGGAAAAACCTCCGTCAGTGTGACTTCAGTTGGCGAATCTTGCCTGATTCTGTGCTGAAGGTCACGGGGTCAGTGGGAGGTCCAGTTCCTCGCTCATTCTTGGGCGTGACTTTGAAAACATAACTGAAATAGAGAAAAAGAAATTCAGCTTAAGGTTACATACAGACACGTGAGAAAGAAGTAAGCCAAACCTTGAATCACTGGATTACTACCGTCCTTACAGCTATGACGTTTACTGTATTTTAATGCTTCTCCATATGGATAACACATTCTTTTCACACACACATAAAGACACAGGCGAAGAGAGTGAAAACTCATGGTTATCCCACGTGTTGCGTTCACATGTCCTGGCAGAAACTGAGACAGGAGCCAAGGAAGGGAGGGTTCTGGTCAGTGTGGAGACTCCAGATGTTGGGATTGAATTAAAAACAAGAAGAGCCACTCCACCCTTTCCTCAGATTTTGTGTCACTTTTGACATTTTTGTATGTGCACAGCCACACGTGATTTACTGCGTGAGCCCAGAATGTACTCTCCAGTGCATTTCAACACTTGGGCACAGTGAACCATTACTAATATAATCAGCCAGTAATTCAAGCATATAGTTTATATCAAACAGAGGATTTATTTAGACCTCCACAGAGTTAACATGGAAGAGTACCTGACTAATTTGTAGACAGAGAGGAGACCCAGACACACACACACACATACACATACTGTGTGTGTGTATGTGTTTTACCTAACTTGAGAAGTTTAGGGATAGGCAGCTGGACCTCTTATCCAATAGTTTTTTTTTCCAGTACTTACTGACTGATGGGAAACTTCTGGTAATCAACTTTGCAGGCCTTGTACCTGACCAGAGTCCTTACCCGGGTTTTAGTTTAGTTTTTTAATGAGGAAGAGAATTGGTAGAACCTTCTGAGGGGAACATTGTACATTCCATTTGCTAATTCTTCAAGTCAGAGTTTAAAATGATTTTCCCGCTGGGGTTTAAATTTCTACAAGACAAGATCTAAACAAGGATTGCAGTGACAGCTGTTTTTCTGGAATTTTTTTTAATAATTATAATACTATCTTTCTGTTGAGTGTTGTTTTGGACAATTTTATTAACTCCGGTCTGGTGTTTTTTAATGCTTGCTCAAAAGTTAATTTTGGGTTGTCATGGTAGTACCATGAGCCAGCCAATCTGTGGAGAGATAATTTTCTCTTTATTCTTGTCCTAAAACAACTGTCATCTCTGTGTAAACATTTTCATCATATTGGGGACCCCTCATCTTTCACATGAAAGTGGACAGCTCAGCCTTGGTCCTCAGAGCTTGCACTTTCATTCTGTGGCAAGGGTTTGTACAGTGTTTCTCCAATGGCTCTGTTTACCAATGGGTGTTTTGTCGTTAGGATGAGCGAGTTCATGTCTGATTCATCTGCAAAACAACCGGTATAAACAAAGAGATGACTAAATGATTAGACTCTCCCTTGAGCCACTCCGAACAAAATCTCCATCAACATTCGTCAAGAAGCTCCAGCAAGTCTTACTTTTGGGGGCATAAATTATGTGGTTGGCCAAGAACAACCACAGACAAATTTTGTTGTAGCAGACACATACTCCCTCTTAGGTTGAAGATTCTCCACCGCTGTGTGGGTTTGATTTGTCGTCAGTATGGACACCTCCTCACCATTGGGTCCTTTAGCTGTAGACACAACTTCATACTCTGACAAAAAAGGGTAAAAAAAAAGTTCATGTTTAAAGTTCAAATACACAAATTTAAATTTCAACTTCAAGTGTACGCAAAAATAACCTGAAGAAATGGCTAAATGTTTGCCAAAAGGAAAGATAAAGCATATCCCAATGCTTTGAAAAAAAATTTGGTAACACAATGGTCAAAATCCAACATGTTCTGCAAATAAAAAAGAAACAAGACTGCACTGTTGAGATTCCCCCTCCTCTACATGTCTAATGTTTCTTTCTTTGTTTAAGAGCAGCACATTTTACAAAGGGACTAGAACTAGACTGGCTTCTTGGTTTCATTTTGCATATCGCAGTTATCCATGATTTCCTTTTATTACAAACCTTAACCTTAAAACTTTTAAAAGCAAAGAGAAATTAAAAAAAAAAGCATAAAGCAGACAGATTGTAACCCATGTGGTAAGTATTTGCCCATAGCTGTGTGCGAGTAAAGAAATAAAGATATTTTTAATCATTGGTCGTGACCTAGTTTTGTTAAACTTCTTATGGTAGCCTGAATGTGTTTCCTAATCACTGATTTGTTGGTCCAAGATGCCTGTTGTTAAAACTAGTCTAGAATTATGAAAGAGTTCAACCCCTGATTCTGAGAGAGAAAACCAAAGTCCTTTAAACTCTTTTAAAGTCTATAAACCACCCAACATTCAAACTCTACCTTTGGTCTCATTGTCTGATTTCTGCCAGTCCAGGATGACGAAGGACGAGCAGCCCTCCACAGTGACCACAGTGAGGTTGGAGGGTGGGATGCGAGGAGGACCTGTCACATTCTGATCGTTGCCCTCCTCATCAGGAAAATAGGTCATGGAGGAGGTGATGGAGCACGGCTCCTCCGGCTTTTTATCCGTCTTGTAGATGACGTGTGGAGCTGCAGACAGGTACAGTTAAAAAGCAATTGTTATTTTGGTGTAATTTAAGTTTTTGAACGTTTTGTTAGTAAAAGCTGAGATTGTTTTTACCTGTAAATCGCTTGTTCCCCATGCTGTCTAAATCTGTTATAGGCAGGGGCCTGAATATGGAGGAATTTTCATATATGTCAAAGCGGGTACCTGAGAAGGAAACAGCAGCGAGGAGTTATGGTGAGTTTGATGTGCCAGCATACCCTGGCAGCTCTTTCTGTCCTCACTTTTACAACTTTGGCCAACCAGCAGCCCCAGCTGTTGCCTGAGCTCATTGACACGTAAAACTTTTTCCTCCTAATGCACCTTTGCTGAACATTTGAATGAAGCTGAAAGTGAAGTTCGATATGCTCTTCTTACATAAACTATGGTGGGTAGATGTATGGTGACAAATGCAAAAATATATTATTTAGACCCGATAAAAGGAAGTGATGATGCAAGATAATGATGAAGTGTCAAGAACAGGTTTCAGAAGTGAAGTCATGAGAATTAGGGTGGTAGGAGACAATAATGACATCAATAAAAAAAAGGTCCACTTTAACTTTAACTCACACATGGCACAATTGACCAGTAATATAAGTGATGTTTGAGGTTAATAAATTGTCGGCTTGATAAATATGGTTCCTGGTACTGTATGTTCAACATGCTTTGTTGATATATCCTAAAGACCGTAGTATGAAGGCTGAGAAACGTCAGTTCTATTTTCTATTTTGGTGATGGTGATTTTGGATGAAAGCTGTTCATCCTGAGGCTTAGAGGTTACTCCTACTGTTAAACACTGGAGCCGCAGTGGTTGTCTGCTGTCTTCGCTCCTGCTTGGGCTTGGCAGTGACCAGGGGGAATCGTTTCAAGATGGACTCCTTGTCTCCTTGTTTAAGGTCCATGGGTTTATCTGAGGACAGAAAGGAGCAGGAGGAGGAAAAGAGATCAGTTCCTCACCCTTATCGTCATCTGACTCTCAGTCATACACAGTTGTGGTCCATCTGCTCTGGCCATCTCTGCCGAACAACTCAGTGGCCTTTTTCTGCTGCTGACAGATCAGAGATGGCTTGTTGAGTAATATCCTGTGTGTGCTTTGAAGAGTTAAAGTAAGCCTGTGTAAATCTGTAAAGGCCAAAGATGCCCAGATGCTGCAAACACTTGACGAGATTCAACACACAAGGGCTTTTAGCACACAAGTTTACTTCAGAAAAACGCAAGCGAGTCCAGAAAAGGGTTGGGCTACAAGGCTGCTGATAAGTACTTTTCTGTTGAAACCAATTTTATTGGGGGCAACAGTACACATTGTAAAATTCAGTTTTGATAGTTGTTAGGACACGTTTTATTCGCAATTAAAAGACGCAAACCTGGCGAAGGGAGCTCTGTCTAGTAACATGCAGCTATGAGCACCTTTTAACCTCATAAGTTACACATTACTTGTCATCTGTTTAATCTGGACTAAAACAAATCCTGGTGTTAGTCAATTTGTCTGTCACTCTGTTTCCTTCAGCTTCGATGCTGTGCTTCAAGCAACGTCAAACAGCTGCTGTGCTTCAGGCTCAATGAACACAGTAGAGGTGCATGACTGTAGTCCTGCACATTTCACCAAATAACAACACCAAACCATGTCTTTAACCTATTTTTTAAGTTTGTAATTTGGATGTAAATACAGATGGTTTATATTATTTGATTGAAGTCACAACTTGGCATTTTTGTACTTCTACTTGCAATCAGTGCCGTACTGCTGGAATCCACATCCCAGACTGGAGTCCTGACCGGTGACTCAGCTCAACATGAGTGATTGCATTCAAACTTCAAAGTTCAAATGTGGACTGTAGCTCAGGGGGAACACTAAGTTATCATGTAATGAACTCTTACACGTGTGTGGACCCAGGGGTGCAGAAGCATGACAATATGTGTGTTTCTAAGACTCCCAAACCATATGTTTTGTGTGGATGAATTTTACTCTGTAATCCAGTTAAACAATGAAGAACTTTGTTAATTTAATGGCACTTATTTTTCAGCTCTAAGTTTGCAATTAGTTCAGGATTTCATTCTGCTGCTACAAGTTGGAATCAAAATATCTGAAAATACACAAATATTTTGGCAGAATGTCTCAGCCTGTGTTGCTAAGAGATTCATTGGCATGTAAACTAGCAGAGCCTGGGAAGTCTTCCTAGAACTGTAGAATGAAGGTTGAAGTTATCGTCTTAACGTCAAACTGAAAAATAACGATGTCGGGCATATACATTATACATTTAACTGTATGCAGTATTTGTGGGTCAGCATATTCGGTGCTGTTGCACTCACCATTGTCACTGGGTTTGCCCACCAGGTTCGGACCCTTGTTGATAGGAACATTTGGAACTGCATGGGATCATGGGAAATGACAAGAACAGATATTAACACTGAGACACAGCAGCAGGGGGTGGGGGTGGGTGGTAAAGAAAAGACTGCAAAAAAGAGTTGGTTGGTTATTCTAATAGTGCAACAATGGAAAGAAATACATCAGATATTTTAGCGGAATGCGGAACTGCAGCGACACTTTGTGCTGTAAAATAAAATGAATGTACAAACAAAGAAGTGGAACAAGCAACAATTAAGCATATAAAGCAATGAATTGCATGTGAGGTGCTGGAGTCTCTTTGTGAAATGCTGCTACAAAAAACATTTTTGTTGTTATATTTGATCAAACAAATGATTGCTTCAGCCTTTAATACTAAAATCCCCTAAAGAACAACCAGAGGAAAATTCAAGATAAAGAGTAAGGTATTAGGTCAAGTTTTTTTTTTGTTTTTTTTTCTGGCATAGTTTATGAACATTCTTTTGGATCGGTACAGTTTGATGACCCAATTTTCCACAAAAACAGTTATACCAGAAAATACAAAATATAGACTGGGCCAAGCTGCTAGATGAAGACCAGATCACAGATTTAATGAGCACAACAAATGAGTTGGCTTTGTAAAACAGGATAAGTGATCCAATGGAAGAAAGGCCGCTGTTATGAGTTGTCAAACTCCGATTTATCAGTGTGAGCCTTCTGCTATGATTTAGTGTTACCAAAGAAACGCAATCTCTCTGAGTCTCTGTTGTTATCTCTAAACACTTGGGAAGTGTCGTAGATTTCAGAGATAATTTTAGAAAAATTGTTTACTTCCCAACGATTTGTTCTGTTTACACCATTTATCATTTTCACCTTATCTGAGTATGGGTCACTGCCTAAAAACATTTGCTAATTGTCAGATTATCAAGACCAAAACACTCCCTTGATTTTGCGCTTTCTTCCCTGTGTAGCTGACCTTCAAACTCAGGTGCATAAATCACAGATCTATGGCATTTAATCCCAGGGGAGAAAAAATTCCGTGGCTATCAGGTTGAGCTGGAACAACATCTGCCAACAGGTCTCACTGATTAGCACTGAGAATACGCTCAAGTCGAGACTCTGACTCACACATGTCATAACTGACAACTAATGGATTACACATGCTCAAATATTGTATAAACTCGTATGAATTGTTGATGCAGTCAGTCAAATGGCAGGAATATGTGAAGTAATGACGTCTCAATTTGGTGGCATTGTGATTCCCCTGGCAGGAAATGAAAACATCTCTTTGTGATGTAATCACATAAGACGGAATGGCCACAATATGTACCTCTAAGGTGAATATAGTACGATCTGCTATGCGTTCCACAGTTTCTGAGCAGTGTTTGTTTTGTTTGCCGTCTTAACATTAGACTACTCAAACTGCAGACGCGGACCTGTGACGTGCCAAAGGCCTCGGACTCAGATGTGTGATTGAAAACAGCAACAGTGGAGAGAGTGCTGGTTCATGTCAAATAACTTCATCTTTAGAGCACGTGAAAACCCACACAATCAAAGGAAATTATTTTGCATTGATTTAAAGAAATATTTTCACTGAAAAACTGAATAGTACCAAAGTCTCCTAACACTAAGAAGATTTTGAACAATCTCAAGTGTAGGTCCCAATGAGAAACTGATACTGATACAAAATAATATTTGTATCCAAACAGTCAAGAGGGATCCACTATAGTCCACATAACAGAAATGTTGAAGTCATGCGTAGATTATCACACATGATTTGGACCTGAATTTGCAGTCCAAACTGGTCATTGTATCCAGTAAAATTAACTTTAGCTACACACTTACAAGACTGCGCCAATGTGCACCCTCACACACCTTTGAGGACATGTAAAGTAGGACGTACGTTGACTGCAATAATTAGTTCATTGAACAATGTTTCTTTTTTTGTCTTCTTTAAGCTGCCCTCTTCACACACACCCTTCTGTAGCGACTATCATAATGTACTCCCTGCAGCATTCATAAAAGAATAGTGTTTCCTTATCTGTGCTGAATGTCTTGTAGCTACATCCCTTCATGCAAAATGTTTAATGCAAGTGTCCCATAGATATGCATACAACTGATTCTCTTCATTAAAGGGGGATATTACAAAAAGGTTTTTCGACTCTTATGAACGTTTAAAAGATAATTTGTAGCTTCGAATAATGGAGAATAAGCAAACAAGTGCCAAGCAGAGAGAGTGTAAATCTGACAACAGCAGGGTATCGAGAGGGATACAGAGTTTGTGTGTTCTGTGGGTATGTGCCTGTTTATGTAGTGCATGGAAGATGGTGTGCCCTGATAGGACAATTTCTCTGAGTAGACCAATCAGTTTTTGTTGCACGAATATCTATGAAAGTCCAACTGCTGGAATAGTGTTTTTGTATTTGCAAAAAAGTATGGATTTGTCGTTACCATAAAATGCCTGTGTAGTATGTTGTTTTATTACTACATGTAATTTACTTTAGTCACCAAAAACATAAAGGGATGTGATGGTTTGTATTACTACTTGAGATGGACATGCTTACTCTAAATAACTGAGCAGGTCTGGAAGAATGGAAACAATTTGACCTTTCAAAATAAGCAGGCTGAAGCTATCCCCCAAACATTTAAACCATTTCCGTATTCCAGGTCCATATGTGCAGTAGACTAAATAGTGTGGACAGGGCAGGTCAAAACTAAAATCTGCATCATACTGAAATGTATATGGCTTCAGTCAAGGTAAGCTAAGCTAATGTGACTGAATGTGTTGAGCAACATAAATTGCAACAGACAAAAAAATGTAACATGGACAGAGAAGCTGGGAATAAAGCATGAGAGCGTTGGGACAAAAGCACAGATGGAGGTGATTGTGGATGGGACAAAGCAGTGCCTCTTAGGTTAGTGAATGAGGAACACTGACAGATGATCTCTACTGGTTTGTCTGTTACCAGGGTTTTCTTTAGGCCGTTCTGGAGATTTGTCATGACCAATGATCCTTTTTTTCTCCCCATCCGCTGCTGTAGGGAGAAAAAAAGTCTGTTATAGAAAAGAAAAGAAAAATACCTCAAGTCCTTCTTGCTACTGGTGTATATTTGTTGACTAACAACACTGAAAATAAAATCAGTGCAGAACTGTTTTTAGTTTTTATGCTTTTATTTTTTATTTTTTTATTTTACTGCAAATTTAGATTTTTTCTTTAACAATTTTGGAAATGTATTATCCGTTTTTGTTATGGCAAATACTTTAACAGCATCCTTGAAATTGTACTACTTAGTAGAATTTTGGAAAGCAAATGTGTCAAGTATCAGAAGCTAAAATGTTTGCAACCAAAAAGGTAACGAGATTCTGAAGGCTGCCTGCAGCACTAGACTGTTTTCTTCAAAATATCACCAGTTTCTAGGTGTATTCGGGAGAGCAAGATTAAAAAGAAAGACTGGCTTCAGCTCCTGGTACATAGCCACGGAGGCTTGGTACAGTTGGCTTAAAATGTGTGATGTGTGTGCTCTGGCCAATTGTGTAGCCAACATCCCACCTGGTCAGCATGAAGGACAGTAAATCACTGTAATAATTCTGACACATGGAGTGCTTGTCATTTAAAAGTAAGAAACATAGACATGACGTAGACTGCATGAAGACATGAATTGTAGAAGAAGGAGGACAGAAAGTAAAAAAGCATAAGCATTTAAATATATATTTTAAGAATTTAAACACAATCCTGGGTTTCTTCCAGTGGATTTTCAACTACAGAGAAAGTGTAAAATAGTACTGATAGCAGTGGAGCGATCTGGTGTAGTTGCCTGGAAAGAAAAAAGGGAAGAAAGAACTCCATTACCCCCAGATGTGCTGGAGATATGAGGAGAGGTCATTGGCTTGGATGGAGGACTTGGTCTGACAAGACGGTTTTCCTTATAAGGGAATTGAGGCATTGTGTAGTTTCTCCGTGCTGCAGGAACTGATGAGTTAGTATGGGAACGAGGACCTCCAGGAAAAGATGGTCTGCGGGAGTTGACACCTAAATGTGCAAAAAAGTAATTAAAAAGAGGTCGTCCATTTTAGATCTTCAGAGTTTTACCTAAATGGAGTAAATGACAGGACATGTCAGACGAAGGGGATGCAAACAAGAGGACAATGAGGTGACAGAAGAGTCTAAATGAGATTGAAGGAAAGGCAGACTCTTTTTTGGCTGGGAGTGTGCAGGGGTAAGTTGATTTTGCTGGACTGAAAATGGAGTCACACATGGAGGCAACAATCATGATGGGGTGGGGTGTGCAGAGTTGGCAGGATGGAGATGGGCAAGCAGTGACATCATCCAGTGGTTTGAAGTACAACTGCAAGCACTGGGTTCCATGTGGCTTGACAAAAAGCAGAGATGGTAACGTGACAAACATGTCATGGTCTTTACCAAGATTACAAGATAACTACCGGCTTTCTTTGTAGCCAGGGCAGGTCTTGATAGAGGCTTGCCCCCTTCTGGTGGACTAGGAGCTGTATTAAAGAGAACTCATTTTTTATTGAGATAATATTCACAAATGCACTGTATATGTGATTGAAACAATGTTTTAAAAGCATAGTTGTGGTTTACTAATGGCACAAAAGTAGGGTTTTTACCCGTAGGGGCTGTTTTTCTTTGGGTGAACTTGGTGGGATCAGAGAAGGTCCTGGTCTGAGGCTGAGATGGAAGCCCAAGTTGAGAATGTTTATCAGATATAGATACAGGATGTGGTTTGGGCAAACGGTCAGGTTGGGGTTTGGTCTGGTTCTTAAAGGAAAGCCATTGTTTGGACTGTTCTTTCCTGGTGTTGCGGTTGTGGTGAGTCATTGTTTGCTCTTTCTGGTTAGATGGTGTTTGGCCTTTTTGTTTGTGTTCGCTCTTAGATGCCTCCTTCTCAAGTCTTGGCTTGGTGTCTAAGGTGTTAGGCTGTGACTTGTTTTCATGTTTTTGCTGTACTTTTGTACTCGGTTTAAGCTGTTTCGGTGTCTGTGACTGCGCTGTAGGCTTAGCTTGAGGTTTAGTGGGAATCTTTAGTTGTGTTTGTTTGGTATGCGGTATGTTGTGCAGTGCAAGTGGGGGCATAGTTACAGCTGGAATGAGTGGTTTAGGCTGAGGCTGGGTTTCAAGTTGAGGTAGTGTGTGACTTTGAGTCTGATGCTTAAAAATGGGTGCATGTGTTGTTGGAGGGCTTTTCTGGGATTTGGTTGCAATTTGTGGCTCTAGTTCAAGATTGGGCTTTTGCAAAGGTTGTGATGAAGTCTGGAATTGTTTTGGGGGTAATGATTGGAATTGTGTTTGAAGTATAGGCTGAGATGTGAGTTTGGGTTTTGGATAGGTTTGTGGAGTAGGCTGAGATGTTGGTTGAGTTCTATGTTGTTCCTGGGCCATGAACGATGTCATTGGTTGTTGTGTTGGTGATAAATACTGTGATGTTAGTTCAGTTTGAGTTTGCGCCTGTGAAATGAACCACTGTGAATGGATTTGTGGAGAAAATGGAACAAAGTGTAGTTGGGTTGTGGATATTGCTTGATTTGGTGGTTGGGTGTGTGGTTGAGACTGTGTTTTGTGAATGTAATGTGAGATCAGCTGTGGTGGTGGCACGGTTGTAAGCATGGGCCTAGAAGTTGGTTGATAAAGTGGTTGTGGTTCAGTCTGACGTATGAAATGATATGTTGGTTTTGGTAGGGGCTGGGGTATAGGAAAGAATAAAGGTTGCTGTTGTGGTAGAGTCAGATGTGTTAACTTTGTGGACTGGGTTGGTATTTGTAGTGGCAATTGTGGTTTGCCTTGGAAAAAGGTTTTGGTTGTGGATTTAGGCTTAGCGGTTGACTTTTGCTGACGTTGATGGGGTCTGGGTGTTGGTAAAGGTCGTGGCTTGACCTGGGGTAATCTTGGAGTCGTTAAAGATTGTGTAGTGGGCTTTTGCTCTCCATGTTTATCATCATTTATTTTAGGCTGTAGCAAGGTTTTCACTGTAGGAACTGTGTGTAGCTTAGTATTAGGCTTAGTAGTATGAAATTCAGTATTGGTTAATAGAATTTCCAAGAAAGGAGGCAAGATAGGTCTGGAGAGCTGTCCTTTTCCTGGGTTGGAAGAAAGAGAAAATATGGCTGTAAAGCCAAAAATGATGATCTGTATAAACATAATTACAATGAATAAGTTTGTTAAAAAAAACCAATTATACTTTTATTCATAACAATCAACTCAAAATTAGAAAATCTGTAGGGATATCTGATCAGCGCTTCTGACCAAACCACAGGTTATGTAATACCTTTTGACTTTTTACTGGTAAGGCTTTAACAGACTGGCTCCAATTTTGAAGACAGGCGATCTGCTTGGGTCTATTTTTATTGGCACAGCCATATAACGATAGGAAGACTCAGTTACCAAAGCCATGATAGATGTGAGCGATAGCCGTTCAAATTCATTTTCTGTGCATGGATGCCGTGGGTTTAAACAGAGTATTTTAATTTGATTGGTTACTCTGATCAGGTATTCACCTCAGAAGGAGGAAATTTCAGAATGACAGAGTTAGAAAAAAAAAGTAATGGCTTGGGAAACAACAGCCTTTATCCAAACCATTGTTAATAAATTTCTATATGTACAGTTACAGCACAACCATTTAACTGGGCTAGTGTACTGTCAATGTATTTGTAGACATACAGCTGACTGCCTTTATAGTATAGTATGGGTACAGTGATGTTCCTATGCCTAAACTATGCCTATGCCAAATCCACACATTTGTTTCATTTTCTAAGGACAATTTTAAAAAATGTTAGCAAAATAATTATATCAATGACAGAGGATGACAACATAAAGAAAGAAAGGGCGATTTGTTCCATTTTTTTAAATTAGTGCCCATAACATGCAGCTATATCATGCTGACCTCCAAACATAATCTTCACTGCATCAAAAACAAAACATTTGGATGTTAAACTAGCAGTGATCATTTGGACCGATTACACTGCAAAGAGTACGAAATGCATATTGCAGATAAAACAGAGGGAAGACAAAGGAGTGTTAAAGTATGGCTGATCTGAAATCAGCATTGCAAGGCTAGGCAACATCTCATGGAATTCCAAGTCATCTCTTACAAGACCTGCAAATGATACTCAGCAGAACAAGTGGTTCTTGGGTTTGTGAAAAAATACTACCAAAGTCATATCGTGCAACTAACTGTATCAAGCTCCTATAACCGTCAATAATAATCTTCTTTAGCTTTGTTGTCTTACCAAAAAGCCATGCAGCCAAGACAACCCAACCTTACACAATATTTTGCAACTCAAACAGCTGACACTGTCAACTAGTTTCCACAGCAACTGACATGCTGTGCACTTACTATATAGCATGCTACTCTTGCTCATGCAGGTAATTACAAAAGAACAACTCTTCAAAGCACTATCGACCTGTCAGTAGCAGACTGTCAAGATGAGAGCCTTTTCAAAAGGAACTATTATTCACAGTTACCGATTGGCTGTTTGGTGACAACAGGCGTTGTAGGTCCAGGGGTGGATAGTGATTCCTGTCTAGTAGTTGTGGTGGGAGCTGAGAAATATAGTCAATGTTAGTAGAACTTGGAAAATGTGGTTTTTTTAACTGTTATTGAAATTACAAAAGTGTATAAACAATGAACAATAAAATAAGATTTTAACAAGAGTAGAGATAGAAAAGTCAAGTTTGATAGTCAGTTGTTGAAGTGCTTTTCCAATCACTGAGATGAGTTTTTGACAAAATAGCCATTACCAAGAGTTGTCTTTAGGTTTATTTTCCGTACGACAGGCCTGACCAGGGTCTTGTTATGGAAAACTGACAAGGAACAAACAGAAGGATTTAAGAAGTTATGGTATTGTTTTATACAGTTTCACAGTTTCCTTCAACATCAGGGACAAAAAGATACCTTTAGCATTTTAACCGCAATTGTGTAGCAATACTTGACTTATGAGTTTGTAATGATAGTAGGTTCTGCATTTTAAGGTTGCAGTTTTGGAGCTAGCTTGTGTTATCTCTCTTTTAACCAAGCCAGGCTACTTAAAATAATCTATTCAGCAAATTTATTTTGAATTGTGAAGATATCTTAGATGGGCAAAATAATAGAAACAAGGACAGGTGTTGCCCTATGAATGTCATGCGAAAAAATATTGACACAGTATTTCACGACAGAAGTAATCAAGTATGGGAGTGTTTAAAATGCAGCTCTTGCCAGTGCACTAGATGTACTGCAGCCATAAGTGCATTTTCAGGTGGCTCACAAAAATTTGGAAAGGACAACTATCTTTTATATGTACAGTCTTTGATTCTATTTTAAAGTGGTTCCAATCTTAAAGCAGTGACCAATAAGAAAGTCTATCAAAGACAATTTTTAAAAGTCATCAATCATTGCATGCTATAAAAATTCTGCTTCTGTATTTAAAAATGGGGTTCAGTGGGTTTGAGCAAAGGCAGCTGCCTCTGTTGGCTTACCATTCCGAGGAGAAAAGGGAAATGATCCTGGCAAAGGTTTCTGTATGGACAAAAATAAAACCAAAAGACAGAGTAATTTATCATTAATGACTTGTGAAAGCAGATCAGTTCTTAAGTGTAGCCAAACAAAACAGATTTTGTTTAGGTGGATTTAGTACCAATTAGGAAAACCCTGTTGTTGTTGTTTTTATAACTGTTGTGTTTAATTAAGATGTGGTAGATGTGGTAAAATTTGTTTTCTTGTACACAGTTATGGATGGTGGTGTGAGACAGAAGGCAGGTTATTAACAACAAAATCTAGACACAAAGAGCTTGGTGTCATTTGCATAGCGGTGAATTTTACTGTAAACCTATGGAAGATACTGCAAGGAGAAAGTAGGTTGATCAGCGACAAAAAAGGTTGGAAGGTTTCAACTTGGATCAAATAGGTGAAGTAAGCATGATTGACATTTGACCATGGTTAACAACAAAGACATGGAAAATAAGGGGTAGCGTGCAGGGCTAGCCTTCATAGTGAAATTCCTAGATATTTTCACCAAATTTGTTAGACATGCGCTAGAATCAACATTTATTGGGTTCAATTAATTTTGTTGGAATGACTCACTCAACTATTTTCCAGAATTTAATAAAAAATTATGAGCAATAATCAAGAGTCGTAAAAGTCGTAAAAATGTTTTTACCAGGTTTCTCTGGTGTGTAAATCATGGCATTTGTTTTAGATCAGGAGTGTTGTACTTGAATGAGTTAAATACTATTGGATGGCCACATCAGTTTCAATACAACAAAAGCCCAAATATTTTAAAAAAATCAGTTGTCGTTCATTATA